AAAAAAAAAAAAAAAAAAAAGAAAGGTGCGTGTGTTCAGGGAAAAAGGGCGACGACCAGGACGCCAGACCGCAACAGCTAACAAGGTGGTGGGTATAAAGGTTCACAAAGGAGTGTGAGAAGAAGAGAAGAGAATTGGAGAGACAGAGGGTGAAATCAGAAGATATCGACGATACACACAGCACAAAAAGGACAGAGGACAGTAAGAGAGAGGAGAGAGGAGAGAGGAGAGAGGAGAGAGAAGAAACCAGCTGAGATTCGGAAGAAACACAAGAAACAGCGCGCTCCTCCCCAGAGAGAGGAACGCAGATGCAGACGCACACGCAGGCACGGGTTGGCTGGCTGCTGATCTCCTCCCGCCGCTGACGGAGCGACATGCAAGGGCGAAATGGGGCAAACCAGGCGATTCGGCGGGGATTGGGGCCAGGAGGGGGCCAGGATAGGGGATAGGGCAGGCAGTTACGTGCACATATTAATTTGGGGGGTCACTAGACAACAGTTTAACTTCCTCTTGCTCCCTCTCGCTCCCTCTCCCTCTCGCTCCCTCTTTGACTGGCGATGGCGATGGAGGACGCCCACCACACGAAACAACGCGTTGGTTCCCCTGGCGCCCCTGGAACACTCCTGCAGCCGGGCCTGTTCAGCGGGCACGACTGAGCAGCGACTGCAGTGGGAACAAGCCAATGGTGCGCCCGTCCCTGGCCCTGGCCCTGGCCCTGGCCCTGGGGACCGGATTAAGGTGGAGCCAACACGACATGCTGCGACTCTGGGTGGTAACTCTAGCCCGGAGACGGCCAGAGTGGGACCCGCTAACCTAACAGCCCTGTCAACTCTCTCTGTTGACTTGATTACTGAACTACCGCTAACACACTCAGTCGAGCCCTCCAGAGCCCTCCCTCCTGGCTTTTCGGTGCCCTCAGCCAACTGCTTGCCCGATCCCAGTCCTGGCGATTCGGTCTTTACGTTCCTCAGGCACCTACACCTACCCGTTCATTTCCTGCTCCTCATCCTCGGAGCCTGTCCCTCAGGAGCCAAAGAAGCAGAGAGTCAAAAGAGTCAAACCTCAACAGGCTCAAACTTTGCCAGAAACAACCCTTTCCCCCCCGTCTGGACTCCGTTCCATCAGGCAGCTTCCTCTGATTGGGCGCAGATCCTTCAGATGGCTCTGATCCCTCGCGTCCCAGCCGCTGACTCGCTGACTGGCTCCATGAAGCAATCCCTGTCTGGTACCTGGCCCTAAATCAAATGGCTCTCTGCGACCTTGAATCCCACATCTGAACCTTCTATGCCAAACACGGGCTAGTTTTGAGCCACTGACAGGATGGGGAGTAATGGGAATGCCACTTTATTTTCTTCTTTCTTTCTCTCTCTCTCTTTTCCTTTTTTTTGTGGCTCGAAGGGCGGGCGGCTAGGAGAATTAACATGTGGAGAGACGTGTGTTCCGGAGGAGTTCCATAGCTATCTGCGTCGTGCTGTGGAGAATCTATATATTATCCATCTTCTTTGTCTGCGGAGGAGCGCCACCGGTAGTTATCTCTTATCTTCTGACCAACGCACTTATCGACTCGTGATCGACTCGAGAGCCCGTTTTTCTTGGGAGGTTTTATGTTTCTGACATCGAAACACTGTCACCTTAAGCGCAGAACATAAAAACATCACAGCACATACGTTGATTAATAATTGCTTATTCCTCCCTCTCTCAAATGCCGATTGTTCCAAGTTTAAATCCGTAGACGATCTGCCACGTTGAAATCAACAAACTATTATTAAAAAACTGTCATCTTCTCTGTTATTCACCTTTCCCGGACCAATAATGCTTCTACCAGGAACCATTAATTGGAAGAACCCGACATTTTATTCTCATATCCCTTACATGGAAGCGCCAGGGGGAAGTTGTCCCTTCACCTAGCCTAACCTAACCCTCCGATAGAAACATAAGAAATCAGCACGAACCTCCCACGCCCATGGCTCATGGGTCCGGTCCTACGAACCCATCTTCAGGATGCGATGCTATTCTTGGTTATTATTATCATCCCCACTGGCGTCGGTGGTAATTAGCTGATAATCCCACTCCAACCTCTCATCCCATCGACCACTCGAAGGGGAAAATAAAGATATTGAATGAACTCCAGAGATGACCCGAGAACAAAAATATATCCCCACCCCAAGACAAAATATCTCTGTCCCCGACTCTGACCGAACACAGGCGAATATATCCTCGCCCAGGGATATGCAAGGCCCCCATTTTGCGGAGATTTTTTTTCTTTCCATTTCTCACCGTTGCATCCGTTTCACAATCTTGATCACTCTGGGTATGTACGTACTCCAGATGCAAGTCCAAGAGGGGGGGGAGCTCAACTCGCTTAAATCAACAGCAGCCAATGAACATGAGCGAACCAAGAAACTACGCAGGCTTGGGCAGCGATCTTGAGAAATTGAACCGGTTTCAATATCGCCCACAGGTCCCCAGTGTTGATGGTACATGTCAAGCTTTGATATTCCGACCTCCCTCGCTGGGCTGGGAGGAGGGTGGGGTTCGTGCGGGATGACGATAGGTTCGTGATGGCGCTGGAGAATCGAGGAATGGAATGGAGATCATTGAACTGGTCGTCTTGTTGGGCTCCCTGGTCCCTAGGTGTCTGCCTGGTGGTTTGACTCCTGTCAGAAGCAAAGCAACTGGCAGCAGCAAGGGGGGTGAGGTTAATACTGATTTTGTATTTTGATTTAGATGTGGATTTAGATGTAGATGGGAAGAAGATGAAATGGAAGGATGAAAAAGCAGAGGTCACCCTTTTCTTCTCGAATTCAAGACTTTTTCTTTTTTTCTTTCTTTCTTTCTGTCCACTATCAGCACCCAACTGTTTGTAATTTCCTTGCACAGGAGCAAGGGTTTGTTGCTTTGTGCCAGACGTGGGCCTCCCCAAGGTATCCATATCCATGCTCCCCAACAAGGCAATATCTTATTAAATAATTTCGCTTCGCAATCCATGAATAATCCGTTTTCCTTCTCTATCTTTATATCATATGACGCGTGCCTGGAACTCCGAAAAGATTAGGGGGGCCGGGACTTTGGAGAGGAGATAGATGTTGAAATAGGTAGCATGAATGGAGCTTTTCTTTTTTCTTTTTCGTTTTCTTTCCCTTTCCTTTCCTTTCCTTTTCTTTTAAGATGAAGTTGACTTGGGTTGGATATAAGCATCAAACGGAAATGAGCCTGCAAATGACCGAGGCCTGCATTGGTCGCCATCTGCCAGTGATGCTATATACACCAAAGGATGCAAGGAGAAATCATCATGAAATGACCTAAGCTTATTTCATTCCGTTTCAACCCTTTCTTTTTCATGCTCCTTGAAGCATGTAAATTATCCGTGGCTTGCTGGTGCCGAAAACCCTTGTTCACGCTGTTTGACGGACCCATACGTAGATGGGAAAGTTATAAATAACTTGCTGACCAGCAGAGCAAGCTATGTTCATTTTCCATATGTTAAAAAAAAAAAAAAAAAAAAAAAAAAAAAGCTCGCTCATAAGCAAGTGGCCATCCTCTTCTCCTGTCTGCTATTATCTCTACCGCTTGCTCTGGCCATATCCCCATTGGAGGAAGTGGTGAGATTGCCTCTGATTCTCGTTCAGCGGAGAGAGAGACGTTGTCTGGATTGCCAGAATTCAGGCCTTCAAACTCGGCACCACGGTCAACATGCACTTTAACCTAGGTGAGAGGGGAAATAATATACTGAGCGTAGGGAGCATCCGCAGAGCTCTGGGTCCGTCATATTTGAACGGATAGCAATTAAGAGAAGAGGAAAGAGGGCAAGGGGGCAGCACGAAGATGTAGCAATAGAAGGGAGCGCAAAGCTTTTGAACCTATGACATTCTCCCTGTCTGCCCGGTCTAGTCGGCGTTGGCCTGCGGGTGACCTCCAGAGCTGCCCGATATATGTATGCAAGGTGGCATAAAAGCAGGTCAATTGTTTGCTCGCTCTGACCATCACATACTGTTTGTGGAAAACGGTAACATAACGGGGTCATTAAATAGAAAAGAGAAAAAAAAACCCCCAATCGCGTAACCATATTATCCTTTTTTTTCTCTCAGCTAGTAATTGAAACAAACGAATAAAAGGGACCACAAACTCTGTAAAAATGCTCCGTGATAAGGGTAGTGATACTAGTAACCTGAAAAATAACCAGAGACAAGAGAGGGGGAGGGGGGGGGATTTAATCTTCATCCATGGACTCCCATCCGTCCTGGCCATGCTCCTCGCCCACCGCAACACCTTCACCATCTTCTTCATCATCATCTTCTGAATCACTGCTATCATTCTGCGAAAGGCCAACCATCCGCTCCTTAACCTCCTCCTGCGCCGATGGTTCCAACCGCGAAGCAAAAACACGACGCACAGCAGCATTCGTAGATGTATCCCAGATCTGAACCACCCCTTTACTCCCCGCAACCGCAAGGCGAAAACTGACCTCCTGATCCGGCGCAAATGTCGTAGAGAATACCTTCCCAACCTCAAGTTTCCGCGAAACAACCATGTTGGGTTTATTGTCCTGCACATTCCACAGCTTCACCTGCTTGTCGTTGGATCCCGTGACGAGGAAACCAGGGATTGTCGGGTTGACGTCGAAGGACGAGACAGAGGAATCGTGCGCTTGCAACATCCACACAGCCTTGGCCGATTCCTGCCGGGCGTCGTGGCAGTACACCATCCCGCTGTCTGTCGTGACGTAGAAGAAATTGGGATCGTGCGGGTCCCACCGGACGTTCTCGACATCGCTGTCTACCCGCCATCTCGCAACCTTTGCATCGGGAGCTCTCATGTCACCAGCTACGGCGGTCTTATCGTAGCTTCCGCTCAAGAGGACCGTTGACTCCTTCGGGTGCCAGTCCAAGGAGCAGATTTTATCTGTGTGGTTTGTGTAAGACTTAGCGCATTTGGTTGTGGTCAGATCCCACAGTTTGACGGTCTGATCTGCCGATGCGGATGCGAGGAGGTTGCGATGCTGCCTGTTCGCTGCCAGAGCAAGGACGGCGTCCACGTGGTAGTCTTCGTTTGCCTTTTTGGACTTTTTCTTTTTCTTTTTCGTGCTTGTCTCTGCGCTTTCTTCCCGCCCACCCTGACCCAGGATGGCGTTTGGATACATACAATCCACAATGTCTAGGTCCCAGATTTCGATATCCGGCTCCATCGTGCCAATTGCGACAAAATTTCCGCGTGTTCGGTTTTCAGAGTTGCGACCAACGGGTATATCCAGCCACTCGAGGCACAGTGGGATAGCAGGTAGCATGATATCGTGATGCACATATAAATTATCCGCCTCGTCCTCGTAGACGTATACTTCCATATGCGCAACCTCATCCTCCACCTTCCCCGCTAAGAGAAGATTATCTGTTGGTAGAATTTGTAATTCCTCTCTCTCATCATCATCATCACCGTCGTCGTCAGCTCCCTCCGGGATAACTAGGTATGGATCCTCTTCGTTGGGCTGGTGATATGCAAGCGACCTGACATTGCCGAACATCGTGATTTGTTCGCCATCCTCATCCACAGGGTCGCTGTCATAATGATCAAGGTCGTACTCCTTTAGGTCATCATCATTAATGCTCTCGTCGTTCTTGCTCCCACTATAAATAACACACACACACACGCACACACACGCGTACATACATTAGCAAGCTGAGCCTTTTTCTTGTATTCGGAAAAAATGCATACCCATTTGCCTCTTCTTTTTCCTTCTCCCTTTCTTTCCTGCCCCCCTCCGTAGAATCTCCATCACTCTGATCATCTTCCTCCTTTCCCACATCCATTTGACCCTTGTTGGGATTATCCTGTGCTCGTTTTAGATCTATCTTTGCATCTGCAAGCTGAATCTTTGCTAGCTCCGATATCCGATTGATCTCCGCCTCGTCGATTTCATATTTTTCTGGAAACGGGGCGGCCACACCGCGGCGCACCCATGTAGTTGCTGTTATCATAGACATCTTATCCTTCTTGGAAAAAAGCCAATTGAATGAAGGGTATTATAATTTAATATTATTAGAATCGTGCGCGTTGCGGAGGTGGTTAGGTTGTGGTAAAACACCTCTTTTCGCGCACCCGGTTATGAAAAGAAAAGTAGTTCCTTTCCTACAAGAACCATAAAAAGATTCCAGGGAATGAAGAAACCCGAATTAAAAGAGAGCGTCACTCACCATTTGCGCTCCCGTTTGGGTTGTTCAACTTCATCCCCAACTTTTTTTTTTTTTTTTTTTGTGGCTTTTTTTTTGCATGAGGGGACACATCTCCGCGTAACTAACTACTCACCGCCAGGCAGAATTAACGATTGCTTGCCTTGGCTCGGCGAAAAACATCGGATGACAGCCGCAGCGGAACCTATCAAGACTTCATTCAAACATCAATTTAACCACAGAACAACCACAGAACAAGAACATTGCATATCTTGCGATCCCCTAGACATAACCGCCAATTTGCACAATCAATACCCCCAAATCATCGACAACAACTTCCCATAATTTCCAGGTTACATAAAACAAAATGCATTCCCACCTGCATACCAAACACAACACAAGTACCGTCCCCTCCCCGCTCTTCCCAACCATTCCAACCCCCCACTAACCCCAACAACCTCACCATTCAATTCAGACTGCGAAGAGATCATGACCATGCTCGACGAATGCCACGCGCGGGGGTTCCTACACAAAGCATTGGCCGGCTGCAACGAGATCAAACGGGAAGTGAACCGGTGTCTCGGAAGAGAACGATATAAGCACGCACAGAAGAATCGGGAGAAGGCTAGGGAGAACAGGAAACGGATTGAGGAAATTTGGAGGAAGGACGATGAGGCATGATTGGGAGGAGTGGTGGGAGGGTGGTTAGTTGGCTGTGGCGAGATTGAAGTCGGGTTGGCGGCCGGGACTGGAGCGAGGCGGGGAGGGGATCTTTCTTTGGCCTGGGGAAGGGTTGTTTTTGGCGTTTTTTGTCGTGTGCTGGCGTACTCTATGATCCAGATCTGGGTTTTATAGATCTTGCTTTGGCTTTTTGATGGACTCTCTTCTCCAAGCACAGCCATCATGGGGATGATATGTAGCAAGACTTTTTCTGCGCAGACATCTCCGGTTGATGACTACCCAACATTTGTATAATTGTATATCTATATCCGTTCATTAATGAGTGTTCTAAATTTCTGCTTTTCAGAGTGCTTCTGCATAACTCTTGAAGAAGCCAGGAAAGACTATCAGAAATTGTTAGAAAGTGTATTATTGCGGGTATCACGACTCAAGAGCAAGGCTCATCCGATTGCGTCACGCCAGCCTCCCCTGCCTTATCCGATTTACGAGATTTATGCCTTCTCTTCCTCTTTGTCTTCCCGGTTGGTTCTCCGCCGGCATTCGAAGGCTCCATTCTATCCGCGCCCTTGAAATCGGATGCAGGGTGTTGCTCGACTCCACCAACTCCTCTGTCCTCCTCCCCTTCTCTACCATCATCTTTACTAGTTGGTTTAATCTTGCTCTTCGGCTTCTTTACACTCAGCGGATTAGGTCCCTTAACTTTCTTCGCCTTCTTTCCCTTCACGGGTCCAGGCCTATCCCCCCCCGCCTCCTCATCATCACCATCATCGCCCCTCTTCCTCTTCCCCGCCACAATCTTAGTAACACCAGCCTTGAATTTCCCCCTCTCAACCCCTTCCCTTACTCCCTCCGACGAATTACTCAACGGCTCTAATATCATCACAGATCTCTTCACATATATAATGGGGACACCGGGAATCTGCCGTGCCCCTCTCCGCAGGTAATTTGCCGGCGCCTCCTGAGCCGGAGTCGCAGCAGACTTCCATTTCTGCTGGTTACGATTATTACTAGCTGTCGACTCGGAAGCCGGCGACGGGTCCGCAGTGGCCAAGATGTAGTGCTCTTTATTTTTCTTCAGCTCAGAACTGGGCGATAGGAGAGAGAGGAGACAGTCGACCTCGTCGATTGTTTTGGATTCTTCGTTGTGGGAGCAGTAGCGGAGGGGGAGGATGGTTGGTGGCGGGAGGTGTGGTGGGCGCGTGTTTGGTCTGGAGTTTGGTTGGGGGGGCGACGAAGCCATGACGGCTGCGAGAGAGCATTTTGTAATAACTAAGATAGGTTGTGAGCAGGTATTTTCTTTTCTTTTCTCAACAACGGAGCATGAGGAGAGGGAGGCGGCGGTCGCGAAGGCGGAGAAAGGGAAAACATATACATGGCTTTACTTTGCCTTGCAGCGTTCGTTCGAGGGCAGGCACGAGGTCCATTTTGAAGGAGTATATGGCGCGTAGGAGATTCGAATCCACTGCGCATACGTCAGTTCACTTGATATATAAATAAACATATATAGGGGTACCCCAATGCGAGAAACGGACCGAGGACTTGATAGGGCTCGCGGAAGCCAAATGTGAGCTCATATTGGTGCATAAGCTTGCGATACTTCTTTGACCGTTTTGCCCTCATCTTAACAGCTCAACATGAGCGATTGGGGGTGATTTATGTATAATGCATGTATGTACACAGAGCAAGAAAATATGCCGAGTTGGGCCGAGACAAATATTCGAGGTCTGGGATATTTCCTAGATAGGAAACCTTCTACGCCAAGACCTGGAAAATCTGGTGATCCATCCGCCCTATTTAGGACTAGCTCCAGGGTTTTCCTCTCAAAACAGCTTAGCGTGCCGATTGTTTGGCTTTAACCGCTTTTGACTTCAGCCCTAACCTTGAACAAACGGTCAACTTCATCTGCTTCCATCTAACTATGTATCTTCTGTTTCGCCTTTTATGCAATCACTTTGAACAAACAGTAATATAGAAATCTTGGCTCTGCTGGCTAGGAAAATGAAAACCGGTAGCTATCTACATTCAACTGTCAAGTTCGGGACCTCAATGGTAGCTGACAGCAGGAGATCATGAAATGGTTTCAACTACACAATGAGAACAAATTTACCATGGAAACTAGACAAGCATTGAAGAGGCGACCGCTCTAGCTCCCAAATTCATTTGACCTGCCCTGAGCCGAGCGATGAACTTTTGAAAGGAGCAGCCCATACACCTCCGTCTCACCCTAACCGAAGCTGAGGCAGCACGCTTCTAGCAACATACAACGGCGAAACTCCAAGAACCATGGCATCCTGCAACCCACGAGCCAGTCGCTGTACAGTCGCATGTCCCCCTTCTGTCCGGGCACGATCCTTGTCTCTCATATGATATCGACGCGTGTCTCTGTCTAGATACACCAACATATCAACCGTCTCCCCGGTTACTGCAGCTGCAACCGCCGTGCATGATTGCCTTTGATTCCCCCGTGCTCCCTCTTCCACCATCGCAGAATCCACAGACAAGCACGAGCTGCCCATCTTATTGATGAACCTTCTGCAATGCGCCCGAACACCAACAAGCGCACTATAGTAATTCCAACCCGCAACCTCTCCCCCACTGCCAAAAAAGGCCCCTCGCCCGCCAAGGTCTCTTTGCAAAACCTCCCTAACATCCCGCCCAACAACCACCGCCCGACCAGGGAACAACTCAACAGCCAACACTACCTTCTCATATCTGTATCCCTCCACATCCTCCCCTGCACCCTCTTTCCCACAACTGTGCTCATATAGCCCCTCCTCATCATCCGAATCAAGCAGATAACAGAGCCCCTCGACCGTTTCGCCGGGACTGGGGATGACGTTCGCTAACCCCTCCTGGTCAATTTGCCAGCGGTGGTCATGTAGGTGGCCGTGGCCTATGTAGCGGCTGGAGGGGCAGTGGGAAGCTAGTTCGGAGAGGGAGAGGTGGGTGCCGTAGGCGAAATAGAGGGATTGGCATTTGGGCTTGGATGTGCAACGCTCGTTTGGTGTAGGGCGTTGGCTCTGGGGCGGGGAGGGTGGTGGGGATGGTGGGGACGGTGGGGGGAAGGGAACGGGATCCGTGAAGGGTTTGTGGTTAGTGGGCATTTCTTTTCTTTTCTTTTTTTTTTTTTTTCTTTTGTTTTATGTTTTATGTTAATGGTATGTGGAGCAAGTATCAGAGCAAGTATCAAAGTGTGGAGTTTGCTTGTTGGTGATGTTGCTGGAGGGAGAATGTAGGATGAGGGCTTAGTTTTATGTTCTGCTGAATGGGATGGTAGAGTGTTGAGGAAGGGGGGTGAATAGTGGTGTTGATGAGCGTTGAAGCAGATGGAATTTTCTTCTCCCGCGAAGAAAGGTTATTCGGAAAAGTGAATATCTGTGATATTCAGAGGGTTGATAGACCATAAATAGCAGGGAAGGGAAAGATACACTTCACTTCTTCCGGATAGAGTAAATTTTCATATATATAGAAATTATCAGGCAGATTCTTGATACTATCAGGAAGTCCTGCTGGAATAAACATGCCTATTTTTTGCTTCACAGATACATTTCATTGCGGAGTGTATTTTCTCACAATAACACAGCATAGATGGCAACATGTCCAAACCAGATAAGCATCTTTCATGAAAGAGGGAAACAACATCCAAAATCCCTTGGAGAGTGGAAATGGGAAGAGAAGAGTTTTTGACTGTTTGCAGTCCAGAGTGCGTATATGCCCCCCGCTAGGACGGGTGCAACCTCTCCCATAGGCATTCTTGTGCTCCCCAGGAGACCTGGTCAACACAGCTTCACCTCAAGCCCTTATTCCTTGATATCTCCGCCAGCACTTGACTTGATGCAGAGGCAAACAAGGGAAGGAACGAGGACGAACATATAAAATCAGGTTTAATGAGTTGGAATTGGTTGGTTGGTTTATTATGTGCCTTTTAAGCAAGATACGTAGGCATATACGTGACCAAGACTTAATCAAAGCCTTAACTGGTTAATTAAAAGTGCATTCAACTGCAGTACAGGAGGAAAAAAGACGTTAAGATCTAGATAAAATTTCTCTATCTCCCAGATATTGATTCCCACTAGGGGAAATCAACGTGTGGTCTCTCCATGTGCATCACGTTATGTCGGGCAACGTCATGTTAACAAAATGGCAATGCCAAATTCGTTCCCGAATATTCTTGACACTCGGGATTGTTTGTTGGCGCCTATGGACTCGAAGTCGAACACAGGGACAAGCGTGCGCGATTGCCCCGGGATCATGTCTTGACCTCCTGCGTGGTATGGAGGGTTAGCAAGCAAGGATTTACAGAGCAGAAGAGGGGGGACCTATTACCAAACAAGGCAGACAAATGCTACTCTGACCGGGAACAAGTCTGAGGTGGGTGGGAAGGAATAGAGGACGGCCAACTTTCGGGAAGATCTAAGTTGGCAATCCTCTCCCCTCAGTACGCTGGGCATCCATATTTCACAAAACACAGGACACCTTTGTTTATTTGTTCCGTTTCATACACATTCCAATGATCACGCTGATATCGTCCATCTTGCCTATAGCGCCATCAGTAATGGTTCAATCGCAAAATGCACTCGAGAAGCAGGGGAAAAGGAGGCAGCCCAAATAAAAAAAAAAAAAAAAAAAAAAAAAAAACCATATACCCCCTTCAATAGCCAGCCCCTCCTCAATAGCCTTTTCCATGTACGGACTTTCCGCAAATGGATCCTGCGCAATAACCTTAGCAGCCTGCAGCAGGCGACGGGCTACATAAACCATCCTCCTGTCTCCATCGGGCGTATTCCCAGCAAACGAATCATCCGCCCTCTTCCCAGATTCCCACTCCTCCAAACTGTCCAAAACAACCTTGAGCACCTCATGTTCCCACAGATTATCCACCACGCCGTCTGACACGGCCACTACAATGTCTCTCTCTTCCAGCTCGACCCGCGTCAACACCGCATGTTCCCGCGGGGTGTCTACGCTATTCGTGCCCAGCTGCATGGGACAGTCGAACCAGTGCCATTGGCCCTCCGTCTTGAAAACGACCCGTTGTTCGCGTGGTCGGACTACCATCACTTGGCAGTCACCCAGGTTTGTTACGTAGAGTGTCGGAGCCAGAAACCCATCGTTCAGGGTATAGTGTAGCAGGGCTGTGGCGCTCGTCGTGGTGCCCAGCCAATGGTTCGGGTAGGAAGTTGCTTCGATGGTGTGTTCGTAGGCGCGTTGTAGGAGCGAGACGGGATCTGGAGCGGAGTCTCCGGTGACATTGCGCTCAACCTCCAGAGCCCAGAAGTGAAGTATAAGCCTGGACCATAGCCTATAGTTGAATAACATATATTAAAACAAAAACACACACAAACATACACACACACACACACACACACACACACACACACACACGCAAAATAATTCAGCTTCAGCTATGAGCCTTTTATATTTCTTGTAAGAGATTTGATATATATAATATATGCATGCATAAATTTGTTTCCTTACGCTGCATGGCCCTGCGGCTTTGCTGCCCACGCTCCTACACCGTCGTTGACACCCAGATAATTCTCAGACACAAGAACCGCATCGTCGCCATTTGTCAGGCCCCTGACTAGCTCACCATTCACCCACGGCCGCTTATCCTGGCTGCGAAAGTGGGTTGTCAGGGGATCGGAGAAGGAAGTCGACGGGATCGAAAGGAAGGGCGGCGGAAAGGGACGCGAAGGCCTCTTGGGGCACAGGGCATAACCGGTTTCGAAGCGGAATGGGAAGTTCGAGAGAGGAGGGGGATCCCTGTGGGAGTCCGCTGTGTCCGTTGTGATGCCGTAGGTCGGCAAGGCGGCTCTGTAGCGGACGAGGGTGCGGCGGAAGAGGCATGCCGCTTGTCGTCTATAGGAGAGAATGGATGGGGAAATGGAAGAAGAAAAGAAAGAAGAGCACTGCGGGGGGAAGAAGAGATTAAAGACCATGCCAGCGTAGTAGTAGTAGAAGTAGTAGTAGTAGTAGTAGTAGTAGTAGTAGTAGTAGTAGTAGTAGTAGTAGTAGTAGTAGTATTAGTGATTCGCCTTGGCCGCGCATAGGAGGAGGGGTTCGTTAGCACATTCCTGCGGAGGAGGGGATATACGGGAAAGGATATGATGTGATGTGATGGAAATAATAGGTTCCGGTGAACAGTCGGAGACGGAGATGGGCAAGATGGTGAGGGGTAACTAACTAACTAGGGCTGACACAGCATAAATAAACAGGCGGAGCAGCCCAGATGAACCGCCCCGTTTGGCCGGGCATGAACTGGTTTGATCAAAGCAACGCGAGTCAGCTAAATCCTTTTTGTTTCATTTAACGTATTTTCTGGTTGGAGGGGGATTGTTCAACTAATTGCTAGATTCAAAATATTATTATTATTATTCGATTCGATGTATACGGAGTAGGTCGATGAATAAACGTGATAGAATAAAACTACACAGACGCAAGCAGTTGTATTTATTTATTCCCAAATAGATATGACAATTGCTATGTAAATCGCTGTGAAACTTGCTGCAGAATTGCTGTATAGATTGCTTGTGGAATTGCAGAACTTTTTGACCCAGCGACCTTGCTCTGTAACTAGTTTTACTCTCCCCCGTAGACCCCACCCGTTGTTACTCTCTCCACGGTTCAAGGTGTCGAGATTCAAGCTGCCATCCATGGATAGGTCGGTCGGGTCTCCCCCTACTCATTCCACAGCCTGGAACAGGACAGCTACCTACCTTGCTAGCTGTATAAATAGATCGGATGTCCTCTTAAGGCCTATCTATTGACGGAGTAGTTACTACGATGTTGCCTGTAAACGTGCAATGATGTTAACTTAAATACGTATATTCAATTCGTCACATACACCTCAAACGTCACCCCATCCCAAGCTGATGCAGAGAATAATGTAGGCCTCAGAATACTCGTCTGTGCCTGTTTAGTGCACACGATCCCTTCAAGAGAAATTCCGGGAAAATGCGTAAAGCACGAATTGACGAGATTGCAACAAAGGGGGGAAGAATACGAAATCTCCCCTTTCAGCAACTACCCGTTCAAATTTTGGCTTATCTCAATTTGAACCAACCTATATAGCTGATCATTGGAAATACACATATATATCCAGCAGCCATAGGTTTCAGTGGAGAAGAAGCCCTTCGCCTGGTTTAAACTCTTCGATTACTCGCCTGCTTTCCCTTCTCTTCTTGTTGTTATTGTTTTTTTGACAAGGGGCCTTTCAGCATGCGGATTGGGATTCTGCCAGGCGATTGTTTCCCGGGAGATATTTGGATTGGGCGTTGTATAGAAAGATGGGCTACGTAACTCTCTAATAATAAAGTCTGGACAATAATGACAGTCGTTTTAGATGCTGAGCTTCGGCCAGAGATTGGAGCTTGTGTGAATTAAAAAAAAAAAAAAAAAAAAAAATGGTAACTTAAATTAGATTTACCAAACTTCTATTCAACATCCTATTTCGAAACCTCGTAGGCTCAACTATGACGAGACAACCATTCCGACTCTGATTTCCCATTTCCCGGTTCTATCCCATCTCACTTTGTCATTGACTTCGTAAATCGTAAAATAAGATCACACAAGAAGTGAAAAGCAAATGTACCGCGAAAGAGGTACTAACATCCCCATAAACCTTAACCTCTTTCCTCCCATGCTCATGTTCATGGACGTCCCCTCAAGTACAGTATATAAACCCATTAAAAAGAAATAAAGAGAAAGAGAAAGAACGAAAAAGGAGAACGAAAAAAAAAAAAAAAAGAAAAAGAGAGAGAAAGATACAACCGAACCCTACCTTTCTCATATCTACAAGCCTCCTTACATCATCATCATCATCATCATCATCATTTCCTCACGATGCGCCAACACCTCCTGATGAAAAGCCCCAACACTCTTCTTAATCTGAATATAAACTTCGAAGAAGGTCATATCCGGCCCCACACGAACAGTACACAACCCATCAGCCAACTCACGTGCCAAATCCGCACAGTGCTCCGAGAAAAACCGCGTCGGATCCGTGGCAACCGGTTTCTGATCAAACACGTCAATGCCGTCGTCGTCGGAGAGATCGCTCAGGTGAGCAGTGCAGGGGCAGACTGGGGCTTCCTTGACGGTGCATTTGCGGGAGCAGACGCAGTGGCCCAGACAGACGCAAAGCTGGTCGCGGACGTATCCGTGCAGGGATCGTTTGCCCTGGAAACGTCTGAACTCGCCGACGGAGATGCCTTCGAGTCTAGCGTAGGCGGCTTCGCGGTTTGCTTCGATGTAGCGGTGCTTGGGGAGGAGGCGGTCTGTGGAGCTTGCGGAGGAGGTGGAGGAGGAGGAGGAGAAGGAGGTGAAGGAAAAGTTGGAGCTGCTGGTTGAGATGCTGTGTTTGTGCTTTGTAGATGTTGGGTGGGTTGAGCTGATTGTATCTGCGCCTGTGGCGAGGGCGTAGTAGAAGCTGTGATTGCTGCGCCTGTTGCGGTTGCTGTTGTGGTTGCGGTTGCTGTTGCTAGAGTTCCTTTGGCTTGTGAAACGGAGATATTTCTCCGACATCGTCGCGAGAATCATGCAGGGTGCGTAGCTGTACATGGGATCTAAGCCGGTCCACTCCTTTTCGGACAGAGATTCGCGAGAAGACACGACCCGCTCGATATATCCGCGATAAACTCGCAAGTCATCCAGATGGCAATTAACGCCTAGGTTGCTTGCGGCATAGACTTCGATGACTCTCTCCACATAAGCCATTTGCTTCTTGTGGATGAGCTCTCTGTCGAGAAGGCCGCAGATATCATCTGATTTCAGCAGGCGTTTGCATGCCTGGAAAATCATGTGGACGCGGGTGGTGTTCGGAAGGTATTTTCCAACAATAAAAGGGGCCAGAGTGCGTCCGTTGCGCATAAGCTCTGTATCGCCACTGGCGCCACGCTGGAAACTCTCGCAAAACTGCACGTTGGAGATCTCGATATTCAGGTGTGCATTGAGGATATAAAAGAGATCTTCTATGGTCTCGAGAAGACGAGGGATGGAGTCCTGCGTCATTTGAGCCTCGACTCGATTGACGTGGTATGTAATGCTGGTGGATCCGTCATCCATCTGTCCCATATACAAGGTTAGCTATGCACTGCATCTGCGGTCGTACTACTGCGAGGAGGGAAATTTTCGGCATTGCTTTACCTCGACTGCAAACGATGTCAAGACAGCAAGGAAGAGCTTGGCGACGGCATAAATCTTGGAATACATCACCAAGATGCGGTCACGTCTCTCGTTCGCCTTCTTTTCGCGCGCTGTATCATGGACGGGATCATATGTCATTGGCAGCAGTAGCTGCTGGTCATCTCCTGCCATCATGGGAGCAACTTTCAATTCCTGTATAGTGCTGGTGCTAGAAACTGGAAGGGGTTGAGCGGTTTGGGATATAAGGAGAAATAGGGGTAGAAAGATAGAGTGAAAGGGAAGAGAGAATTTGCAGTGCAGTATAAAACAAATGAAGGGAATTTGGATTTCGACAGCTTTGATTCTTTCTTTTTAAGCCGTCCTTGTAGTAAGCAGGATGGGGACAAATATGAGCTTTGTGAGAGGAAAAAAGAAATAGAGAAAGAAAAGAAGATGAAGGGGAAATGAGCGGGGCCTCTCTGGAGCGGGCAATAAGGGGGTGGGGGGCAGTGACTCCCGTCCATTATGTCCCAGCCCCGTTGAGTATAGGAAGTATTGTATATTTGAATATTCACCCGTTTTGTTGACAGTTGAGGTCCCTGGAGTTCTAGAGCTCATAATTTGTTCATAAAAAAAGGGGGGGGGGGGGGGGGGGCTGGTTGGGAGTGAATGGAGGTGAAGATACCTACACCCAATTTCTCCGCTCCGCCATATATTTGCGAAGGCGAGAGTGGCGCAAAGAGCTTTCATTCCCCTTCTATTGTGACAAGGTTGCTCTGTACGGGTGCACTTATATATATAATGCCCTTTGTACTTAACTCGAAAGGGGGGCGGGTATAATACTACCTAACTCTCCTGTATGAATGACCAGCAAACCTCCCTCTGCCTTTTTTTTGTTGAATGATGATTGACAGACAATAGGCAGCGTTAATAGCCATCGGGTCATTGACTCCTGCTCTTATTGATATATCATTCACGGATCATTGAATTGAATGCTGGGAGATTTTCCTTTTTCTTTTCCCTTATTTTTAAAGAAGGGGGGGGATGATGTATGATAACGATCTCTCTCTGCAGAAATGATTCCGTCACCCTAGGGAACGAAAGAAGATGCCAACTGATTGGCTAACGCGCACTCCGCTAGCTCCAGGATAGGGCAGTGAGTCCGAGCAAAAGAATACCAAACAATACATAGATAGATAATGAATAATGAGGGGTTTTCGTGTCCTTGGAAGGAACTGCTGCTTTTCCAAATCTCCAATACAGATCAATCCCCTCACTTGCCAAAAAGGTGCGATGGATGTTAGGACACTTGTTCAACTCGGAGGCAATAGTAATAATCTAGAGCATAAGCCTATCATAACTATCATATAAGGGGGAATGGGGATAGTAAACTATCTGTAGTGGTGTTCTCGAATGCACAAGAAATTTTACCTGTCGACGATACAAGAGCTCGCCATTTTGTAAGATCTGGCAAGGAGATATTCTTGCATATAACCAATCTGGTAAATCGCGGGTTCGCAGCATCATTCCAAAAGGAAACAGAAATAAAGGGCAGCAAAGTCATTGAATATAAACATTATACATACGTAGATATATGTACGGCACGAGATGAAAAGGGTCAAGAAATAGGAAAACTGGCAAACGATTCCAAAAATAAAAATGACCTTCAAAGAGCCGCCGCCACCTAGTGTTTCGCTTCTTTGACCTTGAATAAATGGCCGGACAAAATTAAAAAAGTACATGGGCATAAAAAGGGGTAAGCGAGATATCGCATAAATATGTGCTTTTTTAAGGATAAAGAAAGGGGAGGCCGCGATATAATTGAGGCATGAGGACCGTGACCAGGGCTCACTATTAGATATCGCACTCCATGTGTCATCATAAGAAGCCATTCACAAAAATCGTAAAAGAAAGTTCAAAATATAAACAATATAAATGAAAATGTATACATCAAAGAAGAAAATATGAAAAGATAAGATGAAGGTGGAGAAGATATATTAGTCGAGATTAGGCAAGAAAACAAGACTGGACCACCCAATCAGTAAATCATGGTTGAAAGACAAAGGAAGGGAATCACAAACGAGAGAAACACGAACAAGGTGAGCTCCGGTACACTATGTTCAGTGGGTTATCGCAGTTAACCCTCCTCGACCTTCTCTTTTGGCTTTTCGCTCTCCTTTGCCTTCTCGTCATTTCCTGTGTACTCCAGCAGCCTCGACTCGGTCAACTTCAGCTTCTCCTTGGTTTCCGAGAGTTCCTGCTGCAGCGACTTAATATAAACAATCGCTAGCTCAACCGTGCTCGCCTTGCTGATTGATTGCGTTGAATTCGATTTCTCTGGCGTTTTGGTGCTGGTGGTTGTGCCGCCGCTCGCTCCGTCACCGTCACCACCACTACCACCAGCTTTGTCCGCCTTTTCCCTCTCCCGGATTAGTGCCGGTGGGAGTAAGCCTTCGATCTCCTTGAGTGCAGTATTGATACGATTTCGACGTCCCTGCTCAGCTAGTTTATGGTTTGTGCGCTTTGAACTTAGGTTTTCGGCCAATGCATTTGGATACGATACGCCTGGTAGAAGGGTGCCTTCGATGATATGTTGGTAGTTGGATTTGGAGGCGAGGTAGAGAGCTGAAGTTTCAGGAGTCATATTCAGGACTATTTCCAGTCGTAAAGATTCAATAACTTAGCCATCTGGATTACGATACGGGGGATAAAGAGGTGTTTGAAGACTTACCATCGCCGCGAATTAAGGGTTGAATACTAGGGCTGATTTTTGGTCGCAATGCAGGACTAACTTGGGAGGAACTAATGCTTGGTCGCTTCTTCGATATCCTCCCGTTCAGTTTCGAATCGACCCTCTTGATCCCAACTGGTCCAGTTGGGGATGGCATGGCCCCGACCTGTGGGCTTGGTACAGAAGAAACAGCTGGGAGATCCGAGGAACCACTATTCATGGGTTTTAGTTTTGGCGTCTGGTTGGCTGAGAACGTGGGAGTTGGTTCGGGATTTGTCACGATTGTACCAGAGGAAGCGGTAGCGAGTTCAGAATTGGATGACGCCGCTTCGGGTAATAAGATATCCTCCATCATCTCGTCGGGGTATTCGTTAACGACGCCTCCGCTTCTCGAGAAGTGTGCCCCAGAGTTTTGCACTGGCTGTGGTTGACTCTGTAATTTCATCAGGGTCGCAGGGGTTGCGGCTTCCCTGGCTATCGCCTCAGATATTGATTCTTGCGCGCCCAAGCCTGGAGATTTCACAGAGCGCGGGAGCGCAGGAGGGGGCATCAACGGCTCTGATAGCGGTTCCGGAGAAACAGAATCCTGCCCAGAACTTTCCGTGCTTCCTGGATGACGATACCCATCCATCGGATTCGCTGGCAGTCTACTTGAAGACTTCTCATGGTTCGCAGGGTAGAAGCTCTCTTCTGAAGGAACAGCTGAATTGGAGTACGTCTTTCGTCGGCTAAGGGGGCGAACTGAGGGGGACTGTCGAAAGAAGCGCGCAGCTGCTCGAGTCGGAAAGGACTGTTTTCGTCGTGGTTTCCGCGAAAAGACGGGAGATGATGGAGCTGAGGAGGATGGAAGGTGATTTGTGGCGTCTATCGGCGAAGAAACAAATCCCAGATCTGGGCCCTGGCTGGTGGTCCCATTGAAGATATAGTTATTACTATTTGCGTTCCCCGCTTCGAGTGCGGGAGATGTAAGGGGGGTAAAATATTCGCCAGGGACAGTATACTCGGGAAGGCGAAATTGCTGATCCAAGGGCGTCATTGCAGGTGACAGCAACGGGGTGAAAGCGCTCTATTCAATCTGTTAGCATCTTATATCTCCCGCATGAAAGCCAGATCTTTCTTCCGTTCCTCCTCTCTTCCCCTTCCTTGTTTGCCAACTTGCGCAATACTCGTGCCGTTTTTCCATACCTGGTCATCAGCAGCCCTCGGGTAGTGCTCATAATGCCGCCGGTTACCAGTGTCCAACCTGGCGAGTACATTCGGAACCCCAACGTGCATCTCGGCACTGTTTGGTGTTGGAGGGATGTATGGAACTTGGCCATAATTCTGAGGGAGGAAGTTCACTTGTTTCTGGACGTAGTATTGCGGCTCTACATGACCGTTTGTGGTATTGATGCCTTGAACGCCCATCGTGTGGTGCAGTTGATGCAGTGCAGGTTGGTAGTTCGGGGCTTGAGAAATACCCTGCATATGCTGCTGGTGGGGTGCCGCCATCCTAGGTGGTTGAATATCCTGCATCGCAGTCGAAACAGCAGGGCTGGAAGAGGTGTTAACGGCATTGTGCGGCTGGTTTGCAACTTCATCCATTTCCGCAAAGTTGAAGTCGAAGTCCAAGTACTTGGAAAACTCCTCCTCTCCAGAGACGGGAACTAGGAGGTCTCCGTTCAGATGCTCCGGCCAAGTCGACAATGAGGGGTCTATCTCTTTCGCCATAGTGGTAAAGTCTTGACTGCTCTAGGCCTGCGATGAGATTGAGAAGAATAGGGAGACGACCGCAGACGAGACGGGAGACAACTGGCGTACGGAGGGATCAGATGTGCGTGCGGCCTTGGCCCCGGGGGAGAAAAAAACGACAGCAGATCAGAGGAGAGAAGGGGTGAAGAAGAGGAGAGGAGAGGAGGGGAGGGGAAAGGGGGGGGGTGGGGGGGGTGGTAAGGGGGAAAAGTGACCCGCACTTTGTTGCAGCGGGGGAACCTAGAACACCTAACTACTCTTTGGATCTGTTTTCGTAGCCGACAAAAATAGGTCACGGATACAGGAAAGTTCGGGGGAAAAATCAAAGATTGGAACAATCCCATTCAAAAAGGAAGCAAACAACGCACCGAAACGTTGCTGTCTGATGTCTAAAGAGGCCTTTGCGGCATGCGGGGGTTTTTGTTTTAATGTG